TATTGTTGTTCGATTTTGCTGTAATCTTGTGATCAAATTCGAACGTGGTGAAGATGATCATCCTGGAGGCGGCAGCTAGGGTTTCAGCATTCACTGGGGTGGTTTTCGTCGGCGAAAACCGTTTTGGCCATAACTTTTGCTACAGGTGTCCGATTTCAGTCCATAATACCATTTCGGAAACGGGAGAACGACATCTACAAGAGTTGCAGCTACGCCGTAACAGCCTGTGGCGGGGTCAAATTCAATCGTCTAGATGAAGTTTTTGGATCTTTTCCGTCGGTGGGTGCCGATATCGCGTGAACTACCGTTTTTGCGCGAGATGCCGATTCGAGTGTTTATTCACGACCTTGATGAATCATGTATTAGATTTGATATGTAGTAACTCATATTGGTATCGAGTTACCGCCAACAATTGCAAAATCAATCAAATTATTTAAAATTTTCCCAAAATGAATATGTTTATTTCACATATGCACAAATAAAGGAAATACTTATGCGGTGAATGGTGATATATAATATATACCTTATAATATTAATATATTGCAATTTGGTTTAAATATTCTGACTATATGAACCATACAACATTTTTTGATTCATAAAATGAAATACGTTGAAGTAAAATAAGAAAATTACATTTAGCTGATATTTTAAATAATTAAAAATCAGGAAACCATCTAGGTTTATCTGGTTCGATCGAGCTATTGGTCATTGAAACAATCTAACATGATGACTCATCATTTTGATAATTATTCCACACAAATTTTGAGCTTTTCATAAACTTGGAAAAATCACACCCTTACATTTATCCCAAAATATTAGTTTGTTCACCAAAAAATATTAGTTTGATTTTTAGGATTTGTCTATTTCGAAAATATTAGTTTGTGATAATGAGGAGTTACCAAATAATCAAACTCGTAATGTTTTGTACAAGGAGGTTTTTAATAATATATGATTGTTACCGAACTTTTTATGATTCAACAATTTTCCTATGTATTATAATGACTTCAATTTCGATCCTAATGCACGTGAAGTTATATTATTCTTCCAAATTTTACATCCCGTGCATCGCACGGGTTACGTACTAGTTTATTTGAATACAGTATCATTATTTGATGAGTTACAACTAAAATTTAAAAAATTTATCAATAATAATGTCCTTAAAAGTAAATTATTATGTTAATGATATTTGTTTGTTGAGTTATTGCAATAATAACTGAGAAATTATTGAATAAATAATTATTTTGTATGGTGAACAATAATAAGTAAAACTGTTACTTTCTCTTAAAAATTCCTAGTTGTTTAGACTTAAACGTTGATTAACTCCATAGATTGAGAGTTTATATTTAGTAAAATTCCTAATTGTAATAAAAAAAATTAATATTTGCTATATTTTAGAATATCTTTAAATTCATTATAAAAAAAAAAGAAATAAAAAACTACAATGAAAAAAAAAGTCAGCTATATATCGATTTGTTGTACTCCTCAAATCACATTCACAATTTGGCTACAAGGAAAGGAAACTAATTGATTAAAATATTATTTTTTCAATAGTCTTAATGTTCAACCGAAGTGTCAAATGACCATTTTTCAGTGCAGCTTCGTCTGCATTTTTGAAGTTTTGTTTTTTGTTTGTTTGCCTCCTTCATGTAGTTTGTACCCCTTGCGTGTGATGACAAGGGGACTGGTCCAGTCTAAAAATTGGTCCATTT